ATTTTTCAGGTATTGTCACGTGTGTAAAATGCACGCACTTTCTTCCTTTCGATATTCATTACTAGGGTGCGTTCCGTTTCACGCATTGAGCGCATAGATCGCCTGGAAATCTATAGTTCACGTAACATATATTATAGATTTCCAGGCGATCTATGCGCTCAATGCATGAAACGGAACGCACCCTAGTAATGAATATCGAAACGCAACCTGAAGATACAGGTGATACAATAGCAACTTCTGATTGGTCCGTCATTTCTTGGCAATTCCTACTAATATTCAAATTATGGAAATGGCAATAACAGTAAATTGTTGCAATAGAAATTAAAAATATACGTATTAAAGGCAACACATACATAATTTTTACAGAAAAAACGTGTGTAAGAAGAATGTGTGTGTATATATATATATATATATATATATATATATATATATATATATATATATATATATATATATATATATATATATATATATATATATATATATATATATATATATATATATATATATATATATATATATATATATATATATATATATATATATATATATATATATATATATATATATATATATATATATATATATATATATATATATATATATATACACACACATTCTTCTTACACACGTTTTTTCTGTAAAAATTATGTATGTGTTGCCTTTAATACGTATATTTTTAATTTCTATTGCAACAATTTACTGTTATTGCCATTTCCATAATTTGAATATTAGTAGGAATTGCCAAGAAATGACGGACCAATCAGAAGTTGCTATTGTATCACCTGTATCTAGATTGTGCTTAAAGACGGTCTTGAAATAAGAACTGACTATGAATACCGGCCTTAGAGTCCTAGGCCGGTATTCATGGTCAGTTCTTATATTTAAGACCGTCTTAAGCACAATCTTAAGATGTCCTAAACCAATCACAGAGCCATATTAGTCTTTTAAGACATTACTTAAGACGGTCTTGAAATAAGAACTGACTATGAACAAAGAGAAAAAGACATAAATATTTTAAACATATTTCTTAAAATATAATCACATTTAATAAATAAATCTATGTAATAATGTATGATAAACTTTAAAAAAACAGTAAAAAAAAAATCGCTCGGATTTGAACCCCGATTTGCGTCGTGAGAGACCAAGCGTTTTCCAATCATCCACCGCGCACTAAAACAAAGAGTATAAATCGAAAAGAGCAATGCTAAATAATAATTTTAATTTAAAAAGGAATTAACATAATCTTACGTAAATATACTACAAGTACCGATAACATTGATGTTTATTTCAATAGTGCGCGGTGGATGATTGGAAAACGCTTGGTCTCTCACGACGCAGATCGGGGTTCAAATCCGAGCGATTTTTTTTTTACTATTTTTTAAAGTTTATCATACATTATTACATACATTTATTTATTAAATGTGATTATATTTTAAGAAATATGTTTAAAATATTTATGTCTTTGTCAAAGTATAATTACATATTACAAATTGCAAATATATGTAAAAAAATTTTATTACAAATAAAAATAGTTTAAAAAGATATAAAAGTAAGGCTCTTACACGATTAAAATCAAGTAAAATCCGAGTAAA